CTGTCTTGGGCTCCCTGAGAACCGTATTGGGAAACACTGCCCTTCACCACACTACAGGTGTGTGAACAGTGACTGGATCTGCAGCTCCATCAGGAGAGATCCAGCCTTCAGAAAAATCCATGCTAACAAAGCTGCTGGCCCAGATGGAGCCCCCAGGAGACACTGGAAACATGCTCAGCTTGCAGGTGTCTTCACCACCATTTAAGCTCTCACTGCAACCCAGCTAACAGGCAACGTTCCCAGAACTTTAGCCAGTGTTATGTGGAGGTCGTCTCAGAGTTGTCAGAGAACGTTCTTACGGTAACATTAATGGAACATTATTTCCCCATTTTACATTTTAACAAAGGTTCTGTCAATGTCAGAATGATGACATTGACATTGACCTGAACATCCTTTCAACAGAAATAAAGTTGAAAAATATTATTTTATAGTGAAATAATATTTTATAAAAATGCTGTACGTGTCAATTGCAAATATACCATGCAGCCTTGAACCTGTGACCTTTGCAGTGCACAGTGACACTGTTACCCACTGCTCTGCCATGCTCTCCAGTTGCTTTTATGCTTTTGCCTTAGTAGTAGTAGTATTTATAGCAGTGCAGTGATGTTTTGGCAACATCAGGAAAACTAGATGAACAGCTAGTAGTTGTAGTGATAAACAGTAACGTCAAGCTGGAACCACGATGGAGGCTTGAGACTTGACTCGGACTCTAATTTTGTAACTCGTGAACATCTCCGGGTTTGGGAACCGCTTAGTGTCAATGGAGCTTTTAGTTTTGTTGGGTTTTACACACATTGGGTTTTAATCCGTCTCTTTCTACTGAAAGCTCTGCAGTGGCCTGCAAGGCTGTTTGTTGTGCTTGGTGCTGTGTGGAGGTGCATTAATTTCTTGTCTTTCGTTTGCAGTGTCGGAGGTGTAGGAGCACATTGCACAGCTGGTGAGTTGTGTAGTTTGTTCTGCGGCCTGAAGCTGAAGCAGTGTAAATTATTGTAATCTTTCATTGTGTTAATGATCTCCCTCTAGTCTGGGTTTTTTTCTTGTCGGGTTTTTAAAGTGATAGTTGCGCATTGTTCCGCCCTTTCATTGTAAATGTTTATACAATTTCTTCATGATAGATACATTCCCCATAATAAAATCTTGTTGCACTACTTCCTTGGGTGCAGTTCCCTAGGTGGCGTAGTTGGACTACAGTGACCCTCCCTCAAGTGTCACTCACAGATAGTTCAGAATGATATGTTATTTAGGCGTGACTCTTTTGAGATCCATCTGGTTGAAGTCTCCTGTGGACCTCATCCAGGAGCTCTGGGTGTCTCCTTGTCTCCAGAGACTTGGTGTCCCTGTGATGTCCTGTCTGCAGTGCCCTAAGC